GAAATGATATTAAAATACAATTAATACAAATATTAATTTATATTCAAGTCTAACTCCAAAGCATTATTTTTGCCAAATAGAATTCCGAAGCATGGAGTTTTCCACGTTGGTTCAGCACATTCTGAAATTATATATAGAGGGGATTTATTTTTCATTTTTGTATATATAATAGCTACTATTAACTCTAAATAATATATGGAAGCTATATATATATATATATATATATATCAAAATTATATTTTTTCAATTTATTTATGTAAGATAATTATTATCTTTTTTCAAGTTATTAAATAATATTTTAATAAAATTAGAATTCTGCAAACAATTGTCATAATAGAAATTTTAATATTTTTAATCTAATTAATTGGTCATAATCACTCAAAATTATAAAAATTACACTATTGCAATCAATATAGCAATTTATAAGTATGTTAAATAGTTTATATTTATATCATTCTTTTTTACGAACAATAAAAATCATAAAATGTGATATGCTCATTTATCCAACTTATGATTTTAAATATTATACACACACATATAACTTATATAATATTTGTATTTGTGCATGCTCACATGATCGGATACTAGTACTTGATAAACTTAAACATATATATTATTGCATGAGGCAACCTAATCGTTAGGCAGGTTTATTCATCATATTATTTGAATAAAAATGCATATTTATGTTATCAAATGTCATATTTATATTTATATTGTTTTTAAAGTATGACATTTTATAATAAAAATATGTATATTTGTGAAAAAAAAAGTATGATGACGTAATAATTAACCGAGCAATGTACGACTAAATGTGATTTATCACTCACCAGGTTAAGCTACACAACCAACATGTAACTATACATAAATTTATATTAATATTTAATTCCATGGAAATTAAATAATATTTAACAACAATTATTCGAAATGGGATAATTTCAATTTTTTTTTTATTTTCTTAAAATGTATATCGTATAATATAAATATCATCCTTTTATTGTGTTACTTTTAATCTCATAACTTAACATTTAAAAATGAATTAATACTTGTTAAATATATATATATAAGGATTGGTTCCAATGCATCCGCTTATTTAAAGTGTGGAAGTGAGACTCATTCCTAGCCACAAGATTTAGATCTTGATTTAAATAATAATTCTTTATTTTTATTATTCAATTCTTTATTTTTAATTATTTAAATATTATTTTGACCATTGACCGTTGACTCCGGCGTTGACTGTTGACTTCCAGCGTTGATCAGTTGACCTTAGTATGCATCATGTATGAAAGAATAATTAAAGTCAACTAACCTTGCAACTAAAGACAACCAACCTTGAAACTAAAGACAACTACAGATAACTAACTTTGCAAACTGAATACAACTAAACATTGCAAATAAAAACAACTAACCCTGCAACAAGATAGAACTAACTTTGCAACTACAGACAACTAACCTTGCAACTAGAGAAAACTAATATTGCAACTAGACAGAACTAACCTTGCAACCAAAGATAACTAACTTTGCAATCAAAGACAACTACTCTTGCAACTAAAGACAACTAACCTTCAACTAAAGACAACTAACCTTGCAACTAAAGACATCTAACCTTGCAACTAAAGACATCTAACCTTATAACTAAAGACAACTAATCTTGCAACTACAGACAACTAACATTGCAAACTGAATACAATTAAACATTGCAAATAAAAATATCTAACCCTGCAACAAGATAGAACTAACTTTGCAACTACAGACAACTAACCTTGCAACTAGAGAAAATTAACATTGCAACTAGACAGAACTAACCTTGCAACTAGACATAACTAACCTTGCAACTAAAGACAACTAATCTTGCAACTACATACAACTAACCTTGCAAATTAAATACAACTAAACATTGCAAATAAAAACAACTAACCATGCAACATTTTTACAATAACTTTGCCTCACCATATTTACTTCATACACAATACATAATATGGTCAACCGGTCAACGGTCAACGCCAGAAGTCAACGGTCAACGCTGGAGTCAACAGTCAAGCGTTGGGGTCAACTAATAATTATTTTTATTATGTAATTAATGTATATTTTAATTGATTAACATAAACCCTTGATCTAGACAAAATAAGTGGCTAAGATTGAGTTTTACATACTCATATTAAGGAGTGGTCTCAATGGATCCACCCTATATATATATAACTTGACTTTTCAATTAAATATATGACTTATCGTTTAAGATATATAAAGGTTTTGTGATTACAATAATAACTAATAGTTTCTCGCTAAAAACACTATTAGTTACTTTTTTTTTCCCAAAACGATAGGGATTTTATAAAGCGCACAAATATGCGAAATAAAAGGCAGCCAAAAGCTGAATGATACTAAGTCATATGTGGAATGGCCATGTAAACAATAAGTTTAGAAAAAAATTAAAATATTTATAATACATATTATTACAAATTATGATACAAATCAATAGATCATCTGTCAAACTATCCAAGTAAGTTACTAACATAGAAAAAAAAATATTTATATTGTATGATGTTGAACAACGATGTAAATTATTAGCTTAGAACAAAAAAATCAAAATATTTATAATGTATATTATAAATTATAATAATAAATCAGTCGGTATCGACTTGTCACATTATATAAATAACATACATTATTATCAATTATAAAAAAATTACAATAATTTTAACGTAACTAAAAATTAGTAATCTTTATAACTTGAAAATAATTATACTACATTATTTTTAAATTATATGTCGGTTTATAATATATTTCACAATTTTCAACTTTACCATATTTCATGTAGAACTCGAAATAATACGGTATAAATAAAGGGCGATAGAGAAAAATACTTTTGTTAGTATTATATTAAAAATGTTTGAATATATTAAGTTTTCAATGTCCTTAAATCTAAACAAAAATTCTAAAATGATAACTATTTTATAATGAGTGAAATAACATATAAATCACATACTAAGATATTATATATTATAAAAATCAAATAAAATATAAAAATAAATATTGATATTTTATACTAATCAATATTTTTTTCATTGCTTTAATTTATACGATTTAGCGTTATTTCCCCGTCAAGTCAAGAAAAATTTTTCACCTAAATTTGTACAATTTAATATTAGCGCATTGTGCATTGCACGGGCTACATATTCGGTAAATACGTAATATTCAAAAGAGGTGCGAATATCTTGGACTATTATTCATGATGTGTATATCTACAATATTTTTTAAATGAAAAATTCATTTTATGAAAAGGTTGATTTTATTGGATTTTATTCAGAATCCATATACTTATTAAATATCATACAAAAATGTACCTTTTTAAATCAAATTAAAATAAATACCCTTTTAAATAAAATAAAAATACATGCGTGTAATGAAAATTCCGCCTAAATTTTTTATTGTTACTCTATTTGGAAATTTTTCTAAAGTAATTTGAATTTGCCATCTTTGAAACATAATTTTTGGTCTGAAATTCATATTATTTTAGTCGATTACACAAAATTCTTTAAATATTTACATATAAATCCATAAAATTGTTAAGATGTTAAGAAAAAAGACTAATTTAAATTATACCCATGGTTTAGAAATTCGGACCAAAATGGTCAGTCCGACCGGTTGAAAGGGAAACCGGTCAATGACCTATTCGATTCTCTGGAATGAATCAATTGCCAGCGAATCGGTAAAAAATTGGTCAACGACCGGCTCAACAGGTCAGAACCGACTAAAAACCGGTCTGGTCGGATTGGTCTACGGTCCACTTTTTATATAATTTTTAATATACTTATAATTTTTTTAATATAAATACAAAATACATATTTAAATATAATGAATATATATAAGTTATTATTAGTTAGCTAAAGTAATTGAATGTTTTAAATTGACTTAATATTTAATTAGCAAATTTTTATTCTATAAAAAATATTATATATGTTTTTAATAAATTAAACAACAGTCCAACTGGTTCAACCACTGGTCGAACTAATAAACCATTAAACCAGTAGCTTGATCGGTTGATGACCGATCCTGTTCTCATTACCTTGATTATACCTCATTCCAAACTCACCAAAATCTCGTGAAGAACATAACTTATTTAAATCGTGTTTATATATTATTGTAACGTAATTTATTTATACCTCATTCAGAACCTACCTAATTTTTTAAAAATCCTATCATCCTTCTCGTGCACACCATTTTTTAATTCATGTTTATATCCTATCATATACTAATTTAATTACACCTCATTCAAAATCTACTTCNTTTGGAATTTATACATAATATCATACATTATGAAATAAAATTATTGGATTTTATTTGAAATTCATACATAATATCATACATTTTGAAATAAAAATACTGGATTCTATTTGAAATTCATACATAATATCATACCTGTTGTAATCCAATAAAAATAATTAATTTTTTTAATTAAAAATTCAATTTCACATATAGATTTTATTTTAATTATTCATATATAAAGATGTGGTCGAGTAAATTATATACATTTATTTCATGACATGTATATAAATAATTTTATTACACTCTATATATAATAAAACTTTTGTAATATATGAAATGAGTGTCTTATTTATTTTATTTTATGTAGGTAGATGGTAATTCAAAAATAACATAGAATAATTGAGATGTTTTAAAAAATAGTTTAGGAAATTTTAGGTGATTTTCCACATATAATATGGCATACATCACGTAGTTTTTGACATGATAATAAATAACACTTTAGGTATTCTTAAAATTTTGAATAAACATGTTTGACATATATTTACACAAAATAAGTTTCAATTAGCTTTAAACAATTAAAAATGATTAGCATTTGTTCATTTCCGTATTAGTTTCAGAATATCCCAAAACAAAGAAAAATTAACGGTGAGGGGCGAAATCGTCATTTTAACGCCAGCATCCCCGAGTTGTACCTTAATTGAGATCAGATGCAATTAAGAAACCTGTTGTACATTTAAATTTTATTCCTCTGAAATAGTGGAACATATCTCTCCCCACCTTCTCATCACCATCATCGCCATAACTATTTTAGGGTTTAATTGATTATTGATTACCCTACATAAACCCTATCCCCAAAAAGCTAAACAGGGGGGCAGATTTTTATTTTATTTCTCCGATAAAATAATCCCCCAATTACTCTCTGTCCGTATAGCTCCTTTTCTCCCTCTCTATAAATTTCCCAACCCCTTTGAGGCTTTGACCATCGTACCATTGTAACAGAACACCACCGCCCTCTGGCCGCCTGCCTTTTTGAAATTATAAAGCAGACCTTTCTCTTTCACCTTCTCCTTTTCTCTTACTCCTCTGGAGAAATATTTTTGTCAGCTTTAATGGTTACGTACACGTTTAACCGTCTTCATTTGCGCGCATAAACGCGGAGGTATTGGTGTTTAAGTTGGAGTTATCCTTTAGCCCCCCATTTGCGCCTTTTCCCCCCTTTTCTTCATCTCTCTCTCAAATCTCGATAATAATTTTGATCTGAAGGCTGAGATTGTCTCGTCAACCAATTTTTAGCTGGGGACCTTTTGTCAGTGCTATCTCTAGGTGAGTAAGCAAAAATGAAAAACAAATTTGTTACATTTTGCCC